AAAGAAAAGCATCAGGAGGCCCGATAGGGAAAAAGGACACGTCCCGTCCTGGATCCCGGAGCCCCGTAATCACCCTAATTGCCATGTGGCTGCTTCCGCGTTGGTTGGGCAGAATGCTTCAGGTCACCACCGCCTGTCCGCCCTCCACAGGGACTTTGTGTGGACCGCGGAGGTGCCAGGAACCACAGTAGGCCTCCCACGGGCGCCTGACCTGCCTGCATTGCTCGGAATTGCTGCTCTGAGCCCCCGGTGGTGCCCCCACCGCCCTGTGCTGGGAGGGCAGGGAGTGGCTACTCACTGATGGACAACACGAAGAGGGAGAAGATGCCCACCACGTGCCACAGGCGCATGTCCCAGAACACCACGGTCTCCTTGGTCAGCGGCGGCGGCTTGGGCTTGGGCGGGGCCGTGCTGGGCTGCGGATGGGAGAGAGGGAGTGAGCCAGGCAGAGCCCGGGCTGGGGCTGGGCTGAGAGGAGCCTGGTCTCAGAAGGACTTAGCCCCAGCACTTCAGCGTCGCCTAGAATCAATTGTCTTGGACATTCACAGCCATTGCCCAAACCAGTGGTTCTCAACCTTCTTCGTCCCCTGGCACACACACTAATTACTGAAGTCCCGCGGCAACTGAGAAATATGATTTTGCTGATCTGATCTAAAAAACAGGTATACTTTTACTTCATTCACACTGGACGGCTGTCGTTGTGTGGGCTGCTGTCACTGTTTTATTTGACAATCTCAGGCAGCGGTGGGGAACCGTTTTTCTACCAAGGGCCCCTTGGGTATTTAAAACCTCATTCGCGGGCCGTACAAAACCATCGACTTAAAATTAGCTGTATTTGGCCAAACATTTAATTAACTCACCCCGATGCCCTGGCAGAGCCAGACCAAGTGATGGCTCGCCTGCGGGCTGGACGTTCCCCACCCCGATCTAAGGGGGAAGAGCGCAGTGTGCCCCTGACTAAACACGAGTGTTGCATGTTTTAAAAATCCTGCGGCTCATCGTTAGCTGCCCTAGACCTTGGAAGTTCCCGATTTATCCCAAGAGAGCAGAGTCCCAGAACCACGGAGCTGGGACTTGGGGTGCCAGGGTGGTCGGCGCTTGGGGAAACCAAGGCCCACAGGGAAAAATGGGACGGCCTGTCCCCATCTGGTTCAAGGCCCCTTCGGGAGCCTGTGGGTCTCTCCTCCTCCAGCCCTGGGCCCCCACAGGCGGAAGGGGACTCAGGATCAAGGCCAGAGACAAGGCGAGGTCTGTACTACCCTGGGGACTTCGCTGTCCTGTGCTGTCCTCCCTCCCCAGTGTGGGGTAGGGGGTGGAGCCCATGACTGCGCCTGGCCAGGACCCACCGGCCCCGCAGTCACCTCGCCCACCAGAATCACTTCCAATGACCAGGGCTAGGACCAGGCCTTCAGGACAGGACCCGAGGGATCATTTGTCCACAGCACGGCAGCGACACCTGGGGGCCGAACCATGTAAGTTTGGTGGGAGCACGTCAGCTAAGCAGAGCAGAGCCAGCTGCCTCCCACCTTCCCAGTGGGCCCCGCGCTCCCTGGGGAGCGTGAGGGGAGCATGGCCCTTTCCTGGGGGTGTCGGGGACATGGCCCTGCCTTGGAGGACTGAATGGACACTGAGGGGACATGGCCTTGCTCTGGGGTCTGGGTGGACCAGGCCTGCTCTGGGAGGGTCTGAGCAAGACCTGTCCCTGATCTGCGGGGCTGACAGGGATATGACCGCTGTCCCCACGCTTGGCTGAGGGTGTGGATGGGAGTTAGTGCTTAGGAGGGAGGACCCTGGGCATCTGTGCACCGTGTCGTCTTCCGATGAACCAAACAAGGACAGGCCTGAGGAGTCCCTGGCTGTCTGCAAGGAAAGACCGCCCGCAGGCCACCGTCCATCAGCCTTTCCCTGGGCCGTAAGCAGGGATTGGGTCCTCCCACGGGCCAGGCACTTCCTCCTCCTCCTCCTCCATGAGCACCTTCAGCAGCCTGTCCCAGGAAGCCAGAGGGTCTTTGTGAGGGATTCGTACCCGATTCCCTGGCTCTTTTCTCATAACCAGAGTGAACTGGGGTAGGTACCCCATATCTGTGGGGTCAGGGTACCTGTGGGGAGTGGGGCACACATGGGGCTGAGCACACAGTTGTGGGTACAGGGCACACATGCGGTTGGAGTACATGTGGGCAGTGTCAGGGCCAGGGCTGGGCAGTGGCGGGTCTTGGGTGAAGGGTGACAGGAGCAATCTGCTGTCTCCTGTGGTGGGCACTGCTGGGGGTTTGAACTCTGGAGGGTGGAGGCCTCACAGCCTGTAGTGGTGAGGCTGTAGGGCTGGGGTGGGTGGTGCCATGGGCCCTGGCCCTGCCCATCTTTCTGGTGCTTCCCTGGATCCCCCAGGCTCAGCCAGGCGCTTGCATAGTCTGTAGGCAGATGGCAGGTAGATGGACTCCAAATGCAATTTCCCTTAATGAGCTGGGAGGAGACGTGCTCCCAGGGGCCA